CGAGACATCTAGGAGGGGGGGGGGGGTAGTTTCGTAAAAGGAGATACATACATCACCACAATATAAGAAGAATGTTCGATCTCTCGTCATCTTGTTTTGTCGACATGTCTAGGGTGGATAGTTATGTAATAAGAGATATGTAATGCACCACAGGATAAGAAGAATATTCGATCTTTCGTTAACTTTGACCGACATACTCTTCCCTAGACATCTCGACATAATAAGAGCTCCGGCAGGGCTTCGCCAAGCGGCTGCGGAGAGGTGGGAGGAGTAACGAGGAGGGGAGGCGTCAAGGGATGGATGGGTTGCTGCCCCTGTGCCCCCCTTTATATAGGCATGGGAGGGGGGATGAGAGGCTTGGTCCCCAAGCTCCTAGGGCCGACGGCTAGGGGTGGGTAGGGAAATCCCCTCCTTTCCTTCCCCATCGATCGTGATCCCCTCTTTTTAGGATCTTGATATTATCCCTTCGGGATATGATCCTATTCCTTTTAAGGGGGATCTTGGTGCGCCTAGACCAGGGGTGTGGAGCCTTGCCCCACTACCCACATCCATGTGTGCCCCTCCATGCAGGTGGGTGATACGTCTCCAACGTATCTACAATTTATGAAGCATTCATGCTATTTTATTATCTGTTTTGAATGTTTATGGGCTTTATTATACACTTCTATATTATTTTTGGGACTAACCTATTAATCGGAGGCCCAACCCATATTGTTGTTTTCTTGCCTATTTTAGTGTTTCGAAGAAAAGGAATATCAAACGGAGTCCAAACGGAATGAAACCTTCGGGAAAGTCCAAACTCCTTGAACTTGTCGGAAAACATCTTAACGACAAGTCGAGCTTTCTTAATGGTGACATTACCATCCACGTCCGTCTTCTTCTTAAAAGATCCATTTATCTCAATGGATTGCCGATCATCGGGCAAGTCCACCAAAGTCCATGGATCCGTTCTCGGATTTTATGGCCTCGAGCCATTTATCGGAATCCGGGCCCACCATCGCTTCTCCATAGCTCGTAGGTTCATTGTTGTCTAGCAACATGACCTTCAAAACAGGATTACGTACCACTCTGAAGTAGTACGTGTTCTTGTCGTCCTACGAGGTTTGGTAGTGACTTGATCCGAAGTTTCATGATCAATATCATAAGCTTCCACTTCAATTGGTGTAGGTGCCACAGGAACAATCTTCCTGTGCCCTGCCACACACTAGTTGAAGAGACGGTTCAATAACCTCATCAAGTTTCCACCATCCTCCCACTCAATTCTTTCGAGAGAAACCTTTCCTCGAGAAAGGACCCGATTCTTGGAACAATCCATATTGCTTTCGGATCTGAATTAGGAGGTATACCCAACTGCTTTGGTTTTCCTATGAAGATGCATTTTATCCGCTTTGGGTTCGAGCTTATCAACCTGAAACTTTTTCATATAAGCGTCGCAGCCCCAAACTTTTAAGAAACGACAACTTAGGTTTCTCTAAACCATAATTCATACGGTGTCATCTCATCGGAATTACGTGGTGCCCTATTAAAATGAGTGTGGTTGTCTCTAATGCCTAACCCATGAACGATAGTGGTAATTCGATAAGAGAAATCATGGTACGCATCATATCCAATAGGGTGCAACTACGATGTTCGGACACACCATCACACTATGGTGTTCCAGGCGGTATTAATTGTGAAACAATTTTCACAATGTCTTAATAGTGTGCCAAAACTCGTAACTCAGATATTCATCTCTATGATCGTATCATAGACATTTTATCCTCTTGTCACAATGATCTTCTACTTCA